ACACCCCCACACACACACACACACACACACACATATATATATATATATATATATATATACACACACACACAAACACATACAGACACCACCGCGGGGTAGTCAGGGAAGCTTTCTATGACCTTAAAACGTCGAGATCTGAAGAAAACTCGATTTTTGCAAAACGGGGTGAAAACAATAACTTCCCGATTTTTGAAAATCTGAGATTTTTAGCGGGAAGTTAAAAATTCCGTACAGGGGTAATTCTCATTTCTGGGTATAAAAGCTGATGAAAAAATAAAAACGTCTTTCTACGAAAAATAATCACGGATCTTTTCAAGTTAGGTCTCCACTATACGAGAAAAATAGTCTTTGAGTTCCACGCCTTGATTGCTGGGAGGTAGAGATAGGGTCACACGGATTAATTTCTTCCATGAATATGTGAAAGTGATATTTTTGTATAAAAATTTGAAAAACAATGATCTCTAAATCAGATATTTACTACTATTTATTATTTTGTTTTCGATATTCAAACGCAATTCAATACCACTTCCAAAAGTTATTAATTGAACAATACATAAGCTTGATAGTTGCCGCGGAAGTGACACCTTACGCCCAATGAGTTGTGAGACTGGCATGAAAAATCAAAATTTTTTTGTAGCTATTTTAACGCCGATAAAAATTAATAGCTGGTTAAGAATGATGAGCCAATACTATGTTAACACTTACTAGAGCTTTGTTCGATCGTAAAGCACTCATTAATGCTTCGCATCATGAGTCGTGCAATAACTGTTCGGAGGATTTTTTCAACATATGCATTTACAAAGCATTTTATCTATATTTTATTTAAAAAAATAATCTGTCCCATAATTAAGTACTGCGGCTTAGAAAGACACTGCACACAGTCATTTTTGTTGAAAATGGGAATTACCCATGTAAACATAAAAAATCTATCTAAGAATAGCTAGGTTTGATTTAAATCGTTGAAATTTCGAAATTCACAAGAATCTACTTTTAAAAAGTCAAACAACCGTTATCTTTCTGAACTTTTGAAAATTTACAGTTTTCGTAGCAGGAAACTGCTAATTATAGTTGTGTTATAGAACTTCATTAATTTTACATTGCACATTCCCTTACTATGATTTGTTTTTTAATTTATTTAGCCATTTATAATCTATCAGGACTCCCTGAATAAAAAAAAGTATTGAGACAAAGAAAAAAGTATTGGATTGACTAGAAAACCAATACTTTTTAATACTTTTTTCTTTATCTCAATACTTTTTTTTAATCAGGGCTGTCAAAAAAGACTTTCATAGGTAATCTATCTTTGTTTCAGATTCGATCTAAAAAAACTTAAGGAAGGTGAAAATGTAAAAAAAAAATTTTACAGAGCCTTATGTTTTATTAAGTCTTCAGAAAATTCGTTATCATTAGAAAAAATCAATTTGATCAAAAATTTAAAAATAAAACAGAAAACTCCTATTCGAGTTCTACATAGACGACCACTAGCATCACGTGATCGAACAGTCCATCAACTCCGTGCCCGATATTTATCACATGCTGAAATAAGAGAAATTCAGGAAAAAAATCCGAATAAAAAATTAAATTATTTAATCATGGGTAAATTTTTTATTGTTGATATTAAGGCACAAGCTGGAACTTATATTAAAGAGTTTATCCATGGTGACTTTGAAAGAACTAAACCAAACCTTTGTGATCTTCTTGGCGTCGATCTCGACATTGTTGCATTAGATGTTACGAGTATTAATCTTCATTGGCCATAGTCGAAGGTTAAAATTCTTAGTTCTCTTGAAAAATTTTTATAATTTATCATGAAAAATTTTTTCTACTTGTAAAAATAAATATAAATTGAAAGAAACTAATTGAGCAAATTTACTCATTTCCTCTTTTTTAGAATTCACTGCATGTAAATTATTCCAATTATTATTATCATTTCATACAAATTAAAAATACATGTAAATATATCTGCATATATTAAGGAATCGATGAATTTATTGACCTCCAGTCAAGAAAAATGATTAAATAAGTCAATTTTACGAACACATATACTTTAAAATGATAATATTCTTTCATCCACTGATAATTTATGATAATATATGAATATTTATCGCATGAATGCAAATGAATTAAATAACTTGTACTATTTTATACGCTAATATTTTGTAAATGTATTTAGGCTATTTTGTCATGAAGATTTCATAAGAAAACTATCATATTATAGGCGTGAAAAAATCAATAGTCTTTATCTTCCGTTGCAAGAATCTAAGGATATAAATCCCAATAGCCCGGACTTATTAAGAAATTATCTGCTCAAATTTCCTAATGTATAACAGCACTCTTCAGTTGTTGTCATTCTTGAAACCGAAGACTATTGCTATTATTCACTTCAACATAGCCACACTGCTTCAGTCATTATCTGATTCTAGAAAAATATCAAACCTTCCGCATATTGCTAAAGTATAGAAGAATTATTGAAAATAATTAAGATCTTCGGAAACACTTCTAAAATCACATAATTCACTTGTCTTTGATACTTGTATTAAATTTATATATAATTTTTCATGATCTGAATATATAACTGCATAGGCCAGACAGGAATCAGGTTCATTCACTATGCGAAATGCGTGTGAACTTTTAACTATGTGCCTAATATATATGTTAAATATTGCTAGTATAACATATTTGAATCGGCACAACATCTATCAGTGCATTTGATAACTGATGTGCTGAATCAATAATTATCTGAAAGAAGCCATGACAGTAGGCAAGATTTACTAATTTTATTACTTTATTTTGATTCTTCCTTTAAGAAACCATAATTATTTTGAATAATTGAACGAATGAGTAACCATTATTTATTAAATTATTATTAATAATTTAACCCATTATTTTATTACAATTAATTGTTTGTACAAATTAGAAATCATTTTAATCACCCTAACGAAGTATAACTTCTAACACGCCTACAATTTTAGATTCGTAATTGTAATTCATACGCATGATAAATAAAAATATCACACCCATAATTTATAAAATTTATTTTTATTTTTGTCAGCAAAACAATAAAAATTTTTAAGTACATTATTAGATCTTGATATGGAATTGCTTTTTTTCTTGTAATTTTTCATGGATGAAATGATAATGAATTATTATTGACGTTAAAAATATTATACATTATAATTATTAAATAGTGTTCTTTAAAATTATCTATAATACTATACAATATTTTATCGTTGAATGAGGTATAAGTAAATTTTTATGATTACTAATATACTTTCGTCAGCAATGAAATCTTCCTTTCACTTTTTTTTCTTTCAGATCCTGATTCTTAGCTTTGGGTTCATAACAAGGCTGAAAAAGATTTAATATAACGGAATTAACATTATATAATATAAGATTATGTCATATTTAAATTTAATTGTTTTAGCCATGAATTTAATAGCAAACTAAACTCATTACAAAACGATTTAATTCTACCCCGAGAAACTAAAAAAAATTGAGTGAGTTACAGTAAGTTATGTATTATACAAATTTTGAAGATTATTTCATAGATGGACGGTAAAATATTTAATTTTTTTTATTCCCTAACGATCATAAAAAAATAGTATTTTTTTCAAGTAAATTATCAATAAAAAAAAGGAAAGTTTGATTCAAAGATTATAAGTAAGTAGTGTTAAAAATCCTAATTTGGTTACAGTAAACACATTTCATGAATCTATTTTTTTATGATTGTTAAATTCAATCTTTCATAGAGGATTGTTACACTAATAGCACTATCATACTATATCAATAATTAATTGAAGCCTTTTTGTTATTATACTTACAGTTTCGCAAATATTCATGTTACAACAATCCTCAATCATTATTTCACATTGATCACTCGACAATCGAGGTCTTGATGTTAATGGGGTTATACCTTTTTTACTGATGACAAAACGTTTTTTTATAAGTGGGCGACATCTAAATTTGTTGACAAAGTAACTAAGAATCACTATTAAAATAAGTAATATTCCAATAATTACTAAGAGAGCGATTGTCAAAATTTTTGCCCAGGAATCATTTATAAATTTATCGTATAGATCGGCAGTTGAATTGATTCTGGAACAGCTAAAAAGTCATAAATTTGTAAATAATGGAATGTTTTATTTTAACCAAGAAATATGCAGATTATGCACTTAGAATTTATTCAAATTAGGTGGTGCAAATTGTGTATACTTGAATCTCAATTATAATAAATAATAGTTTAAAAAAACTAAAAAACACGCTTTATATAGAAAACCAAACGAATTAAGTAAATTATCAAATCGATGACGGTTTTTATTGTACTTGAGTACTGGACATGATGTGGTCTCGTATTAGGCCGCATGATGCGTAGGTTTTTCTGAGAAGCATCGGACTACCTGAAAACCAAACTAAAAAATTAGAAAAACGGCAGACCCTGAAGGCCATCTCTGCAACTTCCCGCTAATTCCACACCTAGGTGCTTAAAATAGCACTAATGATGTTTTTGAGCTCTCCCAGCTCAAAAATACAATGTATGTGTTATTTTGAGCTCTTCGAGCTTAAAGAGATGGCTTTTCTATGCTTCTGAGCTCTTCGAGCTCAAAAGTCTGATAGAAATATCATAGAACAGTCCTTTTTTTAATTTTCAAACAGCAATAACTTTTGAATGAATCAACGGATTTTCACTCGGTTGACGGCATTCGACGCAGTTTTTTTCAGCCTCATGAATAATCTTTAAGTTTCAATTGATCGAACAAGGAATTTTGGAGTAATTCCGAAAAAACACTTTTTTCGGTTTTCTTTCGTTCACGATATCTCTCGAACGGATCAACCGATTTTGACTGGATTAACGACGATCGACGTGGTTTTTCAAGGTTAAGGGCGGGTTAGTTTTTGGAGTTGATCGATGAAGCCGTTTAAAAGTTATTCCAAAAAAACCACTCTCAAAAAAAATTTTTTTCTTAGTTTTTTTGAGATTTTTTAAAATTTCTCAAAATCTATCAGTTCGAATCGATTCAAATTTACAGGAAATCTAAGTTTGAGGGAACTTTTTAGAACACCGTTTAGTAGATTCCGATTGGTTTAGTCGTTCAAAAGTTATAAGCGATTCACATTCTTACAAACAAACCCACACACACACACGCACACACACACACACACACACACACACACACACACACACACACACACACACACACACACACACACACACACACACACACACACACACACACACACACACACACACACACACACACACAC